ATTGATAGATGTACAAGCTAGAAAATACTTAAACTTGAGGTCCCATATACTTTTTTCAGTGACTTAAACCCTATCTTTAATCTTTACTGACATTTATGTAGCCTGGCTTGTGTGTATGTCCACTACTTTGCTCATCATGCTTCAAATTCTCAGACATGATGTTGTGGATTACAGAAGACCTCGTCCTTGAAATTCAAAGATAAAGTCTTCAAAATTTTTATACTTTTTCCTCAAGTAACATTCTATCTCCTAAGGCACTAATAACAACATGACACCATTTCTTTCATGAGTTAAAATGATAACCTTTCTCAAGTTGAACTATTCACTCTATCAGATGGCATTTACGTAAACATATGAAACATAAAGGACTACAAATGACAAATAGTGTGTCCCTGGTCAGGGTTAACAAACCAAAAATCAAGCTTCCACCGCTTACCACATTTATCAGTGAGGTTAATTTCCTTCAGACGTGTAACAAAGAAAGTGCACTCAACATAGCTACACAGCACCATCTGAGTCTACTTCATAAAACTCCCCAAGCATTCGAAAATAACTCATTTACGAGAAACCCATTTGTTTTTGAAAGACGTATAGTAAAGTAAACAAAGAAAAATCAAATTAAAAATAGTCTCTTTATAAAAGTTCGGCTTCTAAGTGATTAGTCCTAAAGATCTCACATTTATACAACAAAATTAAAGAAGCAACCTAAATAATATCACTCTTGATGTGTGCATAATGAACTCACACAAGACAACCCTCTTAGCACAGTGGAGCCAAACAGCTAAGTCCCAATCATCCTTGGATTCAACAACAGAGAAAAACTATCATAACGAACGCAGTAATAAAAACTTAACCAACAAACACTTTACTCTGGGGTTTTCAATAACCCAAATCTGACATAACGAGCATCCAAAAAACTCATAAAAGATTAAAGAGAAATATAAGAAAAATCAAACAATATGGCAGATATCACCGCTTAAAACACAGAAAATCATCTTCCCAGACAAATGGTAAAAGCAGAAGAAGAAATGGATGGGCAAATTCAATAACAAATCGACAAGTAAAAGAATTTGAGCTCAGAAACCACAGTAGATAACCATAATCGGGTCGGATCTGCTGCCAAATGAAAGAAAAATCGAACCTTCGGGTTAGAGAATTCCAGACGGCGATGGAGTTCAGGGAGAGTCCGAACGGAGGACCCGAAATAGGATAAAAGGGTTTGGATTTCAGATATTTGGCAGATTTGGATATTGATACGAACCGGGCCTTTGGTTTGGTAAGCACAAACCGGAAAATTGGATCCGTCCTCTATTGAGACGGGTTACGGGTCGGGTAGATTTTGTGGGTCTCTATAAATCTGGACGTATGATGAAGTTCATTTTTTGGGAAACAAAGGGGCAAAGGATAAATGGATCCGGGTCAGGCGGGGCCACAAACCTGTTGGTTACGGCCCATCGAAATGCAGCTTGGGAACCGTAACCACGATTCTGGGCTTGAAATGGAATTGGGCCCTGACGTAACATAGCGGAGCTTGAAATGGAATTGGGTCCAAAACCAAACGTAACATAGCCTGGTTATGGTTCAACTGAACACAACACTTGTTCTCATTTTTTAATGGGAAAATTTTGTGTATCTCACACGAAAGTTAAAATATTTCATAAATACCATCAATCAACAACTAATTTTGTTCCTACTTAATAGATAATAAATATCTACATAAATCTCTAAAAATCAGTTACAGGTGGTGCAACCTCCATTCCCTACTTTTATGCCCATGATTCACATTCCCTAATTTTATACCCATGATTCACGGCCTGTTTGAGAAAAAAAAAATAAAAAAATCGTCCTCCATCCATATGAAAAAATAATATAAAAAAATTGTAGTCTTTATTTCAAATTCATATCATACAATTTTTATGGAAAATATATGAGATTTGAATCTCAAGACTATTCATAATTGNATAATCGTGACTATGGGATCGATCGGAGTCACCGCGACAATAATTCATAATCGCGACAACGGGTATATGTTGGGTTTATGTTGGTATATTTTTAGAGAAATAAAAACGTGTTTTGTAATTCACGCAATTGTCCAACTGGGTATATGTTGAGTTTATGTTTATATATATCCAGTATATGTTGTAATGAAAAACATGTCTTCCATAAAAAAATATGTCTTCGTGTTTTTTAGTTTATACATATTATAACAAGTTACTTATGTTTATGTCTTGAATTGACAGTATATATTGAGTTTATATTTAGTATATATTGTTTATACACACAACATATACTTAATATATACTAACATAAACGCAACATATACGCAAACCGTAATGATGGTATATGTATTGTATATATTTTCCATGATTTTACTAAATATAAACCATACATATACAAAAAATATACTGAATATAGAAGATACATATAACAGGGGAATGATACAAACACGATACAATATGAGGGGGAAGAAAAATATACTGAATATAAACCATACAAAGACATAAAAAATTCAAACACACAAAACACCAAAATCCAGATGAAATCATTGATCAAGCAGTAGAAAAAAAAATCCGTCATCCCGCACCTCTGTTCGTTCTTTCAAACTAAAATCTGCAACTCAGAAAAAGAAACGAACCTTTTGGCAAATGAACAAAGTTCTGCTAAAGCAAGTGTGGTTTAATTGCAAACCCACCTATTTTCTTATGGATGAGAGGAGGTTGAGGTCAATAAATATAATAACGACTTTTTTTTTCCTCATATCTACGAAACCGTGTAGGGTGTTGAATACCAAGAAAAATCAGCAGCTTCATTCTCTCTCTATAAAAGAAGATTTGATTTTTTTTACTTCACAAGAAAAGATTTGAACTTTGACAAAACCCAATAGGCCAAAAAAATTGCCCAGATGAAAGGGCTGCTTTTCTGCACACACGTCCCTTCGTCCAGAAGCATCGAGGATCCATCCCTGCTTGTCGGCGTCTTAGAGATAGATAGGGCAGCGTGTGAAGAAGGAAAAGAGGGGGGAGAGGAGAGAGACGTAATTGATGGGAAGTAATTGATGAAAAGTTATCATGTAAATAGGAAAACCAACTTTTTAGGCATATATGCAAATAAATATAACAAAATTTAGTTAATTTGTAAATGATTATATAGGGGATGTAATTATATAATATTTTCACATTGTTTAAGTGGAGAATGTAATTTCCTCTTTTTTAATTGGTGGTTTTTGTTGGCAGAAAATTACCCTGCACACTACACTATTCTCTTTTTATTACATACTAGTAGAATAGGAGAATCCCCCAGTGATTTGCTTACACTCTTCATATAATTATTCGTAAAATAGCAGAGTTGTTATATTTACTTGCACATATGCCTGAAAAATTATTAAAAATTAGATTAACATAAATAATAACTAATTAGTGTGAATTGGGAAAAGTATTAGTTTTTCTTAAAAATTGATTCTTATTTGTATGGTAATAAAATCTCTATTTCTCATACCTCATTAACCACCCACTAATTCAACACATTTCCTCCTCATAACAACCCATTAAAATCTCTCTCTCTCTCTCTCTCTCATACCTCATTAACACAACTGACTGATTTTCATGCTTTTGCAATGCATTTTCATGTCCAGCATATGATATGTATATGTATATAAACTCAATAAATATTATCTATAAATTCACAACATGCTGTTTTTGTCATTTTGACTGTATGTATACAAGTTTAGTATATGTTTTGTATAAGTTCACAACATACGGTTTTGTCCTTTCACCTGTATGTTTTATGTTCAGTATATGCTAAGTCTATATTCACTAAACATACAGAATTTTATATTTTTACAATTGACTGGTTTCATGCATTTGCAAAATGCATGTTCATATCCAGTATATGATAGGTATATGTTCATTAAACTTAATATTTCGTATATTTTTCAGAATTTGTTCATCAACATGAAAGAATTGTCGTTCGGGTACTTTTTATATATTTGGAAGATGATGTATATTGAAATTCAAATTCATTATTTTTCTAATTTGAAATGACACATAATCCTATTTGTAGGATATGTAAACTTACCATTACATAATAAGCTTTTTTTTTTTAATGGAGAAAACGCATGACATGCGTAATTTAAGGAGAGGAGTCGCATTATATTTATATTTGGTAATTGATGTGGTGCATCTTTATAATTAATTATCATGAATTTTGTAAAGATGCAAATAAGTTATGTCCTTCTCGTAAGAGTGCAACATTTTTTCAAATCATGTTGTATAGGTGAAAATATGTAACAAAAAAAAATTGTGTAGTAGAGTAGGTAAATTTTTCATATTCGAATGAATAGACCTGATATCATACTTAATCATGAAAACGCAAAAATGGCATCATAGAAGAAATAATGTTTGAGAAAGGGAAGAGCAATACCTCATTTATATGTACAATTGCTTTCTTTCTCTTAAACTTATCTTTCTTAAAACCGCAATTCCTATCTCTCCCTCCGATTTTTTTTTTTTTTTTCGGCGCCTTCCCTAGCGGGGCTCTCCGAGCATTTTGGTGGTGGCGCTCCTGCGCCTCGCGGCCCGTTTCATGGAGATTCGCCTCTTGGAGGGATTTTTCTTAGTCGGGGAGAAGAATGCGCTTGTCCCTCGTCTAGGTTTCGTCGTGATTCTGGTGTTTGGACGGAGTGGTGGGCGGCCGATTCTCTGGTATCTTCGAGTGGTGGTCCTCCAGCATCCTTTAGTAGTGAGCGGTGGCTCCAAATTTTTCGTTCGTGGGGATTGGAGTGGAAGGTTTCACCCCTGTCCATTGTTGTTCTCTTCGGTTCTGGCGCTGGGGGTAGGGGACGACTGGTGATCTGGGTCGAGGTTCGAATTTCTGAGGTCAGGGTCTGAGCCGGTGCCGTTGGGTGGTTCTGGGGGTGATTGTCTCTTGGTGTGAGTTGGTGATGTCTCTTTGGATTGGGGTTGGGTTCGTTAGTGTCGGACCCAATTAGGCGTTATCTTGCAGCTTCTGAGTCGTGTTTCTTGGGCAGTGACTTTGTCTGTGTGGATGGATGTCTGTTGATGTCGACGTCGTTTCACTTGGTGTGGCTTCCTGTTGTGAGAAGGGTTGTAGTAGCCGTAGTCTT